AGTGAAGCCAGCGTGAAGTCGCTTACACCAGCCAGCAGGGGGCGACTCCTCTGCTTGCTAAAAGAAGTCTGATTGCGTTCACAAAAAAGTCAACCCAACATTTTCCTAAAGAGTGTCGGCCCGTTAACAGCAGAAATAGACATGTTCACAGCCTGGAACAAACAGCATTTCTATAGCTAACATCCTTGTTCGTGACAACCGTACAAAGGATGATTGTTTATATAACACAGCCATTTAAATTGTATTAAGGCTAAAAGCAGGGGTAGATTATGGCCGCTTTAAGTGACAGGTGGGTGCTGTCACAGAACAGTCCGCGGCCCAGATGTCTCTAAACATTTTTTTGGATTATCTGGTGGTCAGGAGAAGTGAGGCGCTGCCGAGACGGTAGCCGTACTGAGCTTCAAAACTGCTGATCGGTAAACCTCTGGGTGACGTCATGGGAGGTTTGTTCATCTTTGTTTACAGTCGGTGGGTATTCTGTAGTGATACGGAAGAAAAATGTCACTTTTGACGTCATGGATTATGCAAACTAATCACAGCAGCCTCTTTTTATTGTCACCATTAACCTCCAACTCTCTGCAAAACATCAGTGTGTAAGTTTCACTTTCCCTGCCGATTCTACGCTCAGTAAATATTTATTCCTGCGATGTGAAGCCGAGCACGCAGCATGTGAAAGTGTGAATGTACTCCGTTAAGTCTTCCCGGGTGGAAGACATTAAAGTTTAACCGCCTGTGTGTGTGTGTGTGTGTTTCCGTCCAGGTCGCCATGCAGAGGACATTTTCGGAGAACTGTTCAACGAAGCCAACAGCTTCTACCTGCGGATGAGCAGCCTGCAGGAGAGGGTGGACCAGCTGGCCGTGAAAGTCACCCAGCTCGACTCCACCGTGGAGGAAGGTGTGTGCGCTTTATCAAAGGGCTGATTTATGAATGAAAAATAAGTTTGTCCTGGTGAGTTTCTCACATTGCATGGAACAGATGAGACCCTTTAACAGACGGCTAGGATGAGTTGTCATCTTTGTGTGTTTGTTCAGCGCTCTGGATTATTAAATGTGTTGTTCAGGAGCAGGGGCAGCTTCTGTGTGTGAGTGTTTATGTGAGTTTGAGGGCTTTGGAGGGAGGACATTTGAGGGGAGTGAGGACGTGGAGGTCAGGGTGAAGGGGCTGTGCTGCTAGTCTTGTCAACGGGAGTCCTCACAGAGATAGAATGTGTGTGTGTCCCCATCTGCCTGCTGCACACGAACAACCTGTTCCACTTTCTTTGTTTGATGTCTGTCGGCTTAGCGCTTGTTTCCATATCTGTGTGTGTGTTTGTGTGTCCATGCGTGTGTGTGTTTGTGCACCATCTGAGTGTATTTAGCGAACAGACTGATGGAGGAAACTCTCTCTCAGACACATGCGCCTCTAAAAGGCTTTTACGTGTGTGTTTGTGGTTGTTTGTGCAGCGTGAGTCACAATCATTATCTCCATCATTAAGCTTCTCGTTGTCTCTGAAGGTCAATTCTCTTAATGCAGTAATTGATAGGCCTGCACAGACACAGACGCACATTCAGGGTTTTTTTTTTTTTTCAGGATAATTTTTTGGCCTTTATTCAGATTCAGGGGATGACATGAGGTCTAACCAGTTGGTACTCGCAGGATTGCAAAGGTCCGTACGGTGGCCCTGGAGGCTCAGACTTTGTGGTGTGAGGTGTTCATCTTCATCTTCCCTCTTCACCCTTTTTCCTTCTCATCCTCCTTTACTTCCTCCATCATCCTCTGCTTCCCTCTGTCTATTCTCTTTACTTTGAAAAATAATTCTTCTTCATTCTCTCCATTTGTCCTCTCGTTTTCTTACTTTCTTTCTCTACTTTTTCTCCCTTTGCCTCTTTCTATCCCTCTCACTCTTTCTCTCATGTCTTTCCTGTTTCTTTATTTCCCTCCCCCCTCTCTCTCTCTGTCTCTTTAATTTAGTTTTTTGCTTCGTCTTCGCTTCTTTTAATCCTTCTTAACATCTCCTCATTCCTCACTCTGTCTCCTCTCTCCTCGTTCTCTCCTCTCAGACTTTCTCCAGCTCTTTCTTCCTTTCTTCCACCTTCCTTCTTTCCCTTTCTGCCCCCTTTCTCTTCCTCTCTCCTCCTCCCACTTCTGTTTCTTCTCCTCTGCTTTCTCTCTTCCTCTTTATTCTCTCTCTCTCTCTCTTTGCCGATACTGCCTCGTCATTCTGCAGCACAGCGGCCTCAGACAGTTAACGTCAGATAGAGCAGCACAGACGGGGGATGAAAAGGAAAAGCTCAGCAGTCCTCCGTCTTATCCTTCTCTTCCTCCTCTCTTCTTCTCCCACTCCTCCTCCTCCTCATCGTCCACTCGCTCTTTCATCCTTCCCTCTCTTCATACCGCCTCCTCCTCCTCCTCCTACACACAAACCACTCGTCTGTCCTTTGTTTCCTACCACACATTCGCTCTCTCATCTCCTCTGTCTTCTCTCCTGACGCTCGTTTCTTTGACTTCTCTTCCTTTCACCACCTTTCTCATCCCTCGCTCCCACCTTCTTCCTCTTTCTTCCTTTTCTTTTTTCCACTCGTGACAGATGCATGTTGAATAGCATACAAAGCAGGAGGAATGTAAGGAAGGAGGAAGGGAGGAAGACAGTAAAGCAGAAGGAAAGGAGGGAACAGGGAAGACAAGGAAAGAGGGAGGGAAGGAAAGAAGGAAAGAGTTGAAGAACAAAAAAGAAGGGGGAGTTTTTTTTTTCATTTTTAGAACATTTTATTGATGCAATCTGAAACAAAGAAGAGGGAATGGAAAGGAGGAAGAAAAAAGAACAAACACAAGAAAGAAAAAGGAAGCAGGAAGGGAAGATAGAAAGATTAGAGAAAGGAAAGAATTTAGGGAAAAGGGAGGAGGAAGGAAGAAAGACAGAAAGAAGAAAAAGGAGGACAAAAGAGGGAACTGGTTTGTAAAGGCTGTAAAAATGCAAAAATCTTAAAACATCTATAAGATTTGGAGCCACCATTTTCCTCAGTCTTGGTGACACCAGTTGGCTCTTGGAAAAAATCTTGTAATGTTTCTAATCTTTTTCAAACTGAAGGAAATTCAGCTTCGTGTTATGACATTATCACTTTGCTTTGCCGCACAAAAGATATCTCCGAGTTCTCTCTCTCTCTCTCTCTCAGGTCTTTGCATCGCAGTGAAAAATGAGCCAACAGCGAGGAAAACTCAACGCCCACAGGGTTTATGTGCCTGCTTTTACTTGGACGGCACTCATAAAGTTTCCTATAGGATGCTGCACAGACGTCACACTGACGATTAAACCGTCCGTGTAAATTCCAGTAAATGTAATCGTGGAGGTTTGCCCACCGTAGAGTCCTTTAATCAGACTGTTTACTGCACTAATCTGGTGATTAACAGTCATTAACATGTTTGTGTGCATGTAAACGTGCAGAGAGGCAGGTGGATGTTGCAATCAGAGTGTAGCGCCGGAGAGGATAAAGAGAAAGAAGGTATATGGTCAGAGAGAGAGAGAGGTTGAGTGTGCTACAAAGAGAGAGAGAGAGAGAGGAGGAGAAAGGGAGCTAGAGGTCTCTTTGAAGATGTGTCTGAATGAAAGTTGCATTAGCTGCTAGTTTTGTGGATTATTCATTTGGCCGCAGGGACAGAAGCTTAGGAAGGAATGATCAAACAGCGAGCAGACAGGAGTGTGCTCTGCCGGCACATCCTGCACACACACTCACAGATCAAACAGCCAATCGCCCTTCAGTCTCTGAAGAAAACGTCTTTGCGGGGCTTTAACCTAACAGTGGCTCTTCCTATCTGCCTCTTCCACAATTTGTCCTGTTAGTCAGACGTGCACACACACGTATCGATGCACGTCGTCCAGTAAATCACTGCTAGAGACATATGTCACACTGACACGGTTTAACCTCATTATGAACAGGACTGATGTGCACTGATCCTGCCTGTGTGTGAGTGTGTTCTAGCCATCTGCTTGATCCTGGATAGCGCTGCGGTGCCGTTAAATCTCCTCAGGGGTTAAGGGATTGACACACATACATATAGTAGTATTTTCATCTCACTCTCCCTTTCTCTCTGCTGCTGTCTCACACACAAGTAACACATTACCAGGCTCCTGTTATCATAGCTGCAGAGTGTGTGTTGTGTGTGTGTGTGTTGTGTGTGTGTGTGTTGTGTGTGCACATAAGACGCTTGTTAAGCCAACGCAACAAGCTCCAAGACTAATCTGTCCCTGCTGTCCTATTATCACCTTCTTGTGTGTGCATGCATATGTATGTGTTTGTGTCAAACGCTACAGGAGCTGTACGTCTTAATCTATATGCATGTGTGTTGTTGGAGAGATTTAAGTTTTGTTTTCTCTAATTGATGTTTGAGATAATTATCATCTATAGACTGCAAAATTACAGCAAACTGTTGCTGAGTGCTAATAAGTGTGCTCCACAAATTAGTCTACTATGAAGCGTCTAATGAGGCGGTGTTGCCTCGTCGTGTTTCAACTCCTCCACTTCTGCCTCCGTAAGCAGTTTCCTACAATCCCAGAATGCTTTTCAGCAAAATCCATAACTCTCAGGGTCAACGTCACATGAGTGAGAGTGACATTGAGGGTCTGGGAACGCTCGAAAGGGACCAAAGACAGAGTTTAGTAGCTTCTACATTAGCAGCAAACATCACGTTCTGCTGCTTTATGTTTGTTAAGCTGAAGGAGGAAATGTTGTTAAATCTTCCTGTTGCAAGAAGATGGAGGAAACGCAGAATGTTATGTCCTGATTGTTTCGTTTTTAACGCCATTCTCGACTCAGAAATATTCTTTCTCACCACGCTGAATGGCACAGTCGTCCTCAAATGTATTCATCCCCTTTCATGAAAAAAAAGCCAAAATTCACAACAGTCACTGAAATAACTAGAAACTGAAAAAGTAATAATAAAGAAAAATGTGCTCAATTATAATGCAGTGAAATGAGACATTGCTTTTGAATTGTGGTTGAAAAGAATAATTTAAAAAACTGTCCAGGACACATTAGAGCCCTTTGCTGATGAGCAGTGAAATCAGAACACCTGTCAACAGGTGCAGAAGTCTGACTGAGAGTTACAGAAACACCTGATTGGCTCAAAGGGCTGTTCAACTAAATATTAGTTCACGGGTCCCATCATGCTTGTTTGCTTGTTTTTTATATTTCTGTTGAACCACAATTCAAAACCAATGTCATGATGTTCATTAAATTTTTATTTATTACAACTTTTGTCAATTTCAACTTATCTCAGTGACTGAAGCTGTTTTTTTCCTTCTTTAATGGGAGGCTATGAAAACATCCGAGGACGACTACATGATTTGTCACATCACAGCTAACCAATCCTGGTCGAACAGGCAAATTAAAGAATATGATTCACGATACTGGGGATGAGGTCGTTGGTACCAACACCACTGAAGTTCTGTGTTTCTCGTTTAGCACCACAGCAAAAAAATAAACCGATGAAAAGAATTTATTTCAGCATCAACTTTTTTTTGGCAGGAAAAAAACATGACATGGAGTCTTCAAGTGATAGAAGAAAAAGTTACGATCATTTTTCTTGAAAGCAATTTGTCTCCCAAAAATAAATCAGCTCAATAATACAAATAATTAACAGTTTTACTTTACCAAATCAGCTACAAATATATTTATTTTACAGATGTTTGCTGTTATTTTTTTTACAGCTTTCACAGTTTTTAAAATGTTCTAATAGTCTGCTGTTTGTTAATTGATTTATTTTTGTTTTTGCGACGTTCAACAGATGCAGCTGTTAACAGCTGTTTCCTCTGGTGTGACACCGTTTGCATTCTTTCCTTTGGACTTTCGTTGTCCAACCACCTTAGACTCTAAATATCTTCATCCATGACTTTTGAGGACTTTTTTTTCCCACAACATGCAGCCGACCTGTTGCTCCTTTTGCCCTCGCTGATGCCATTCTGGAGAAATCACAATCTCCAGTAGGCCGGCTGAAAATATGTATGGTCACATTTTTCACATTTTCGCTCCCAGTGGAAACTGAAGGCTTGAACTGCACATCAACAGATATTTGAAATCAAAAAATGCTCATTCACAGATTCCATATTTTTCAATGAGTGATGCCGGCGGAAGTCATTTTAAGAATTTCTAGCCAGATAATTGGATTTTTCATGAAGAACCTACATCAGGCCGAGCTGTTATTCACTGCAGAGTATTTTTATTCTTTAGTGAACATATCTGGAGGGGATCTTTAAATTACCAATGGAGTAATAGGACATGATTTTAAGTATTTCATCTATCTGCAGTGACCAAGAAGTGTTTCCTCTTTAGTAAATATAAAGAAAAAATAATGAAAGTGCATCTTCTCGTTTCCTTACTTTAAAAGCCTGATGATGATGTCGTCGTCATTATCAGCATCGACTGATGAAGACTCCAAAGTAGACATTTGTCAGGCTAAAAGTTGACAGTTTTTATAAAAAGCGTTGCATAAAAAATAAATATGGCACATTTTACACCAAAGTTAAAGTAGTTTTCTAATTCTGCCCATTTGGAAGTCATTGTATTTTATGTCTGCACCTGCCATCACGACAAAAGGAGGCGTAATTATCTATTATACAGGAGAGCCTTTCTCTATAATTAGCAGGTATCAGTATCAGCCAAAATGAGTTGGAAAATACTGGCACATCGGATTTTGGCAAAAATCAAATATGCTGCGTCCCTGTCCTGGTTCTCCAAAACGATCATCCTGCTGAAAAATTGAAGCAAATACAGCAAATTGTCCAGTCGGCAAAACGCTGTCCAGTTTTCTGTTTTGGGTGTTTCATGAAGTTTATTTGCATTAAACTAAGAATTAAACCGATATGGCCTTACGAAATGTGTTAACTAAGAGCAGTAATAAGAGATTATGCTTCCTGCCTTTAATACCACAAATCCTGACTTGATTCATGACTCTGCAGACCAGAGGTCAGAGGACGGCGCTGCGTGTTCAGGATTTAGTCGTCGCTGCTTGAAGAAATAAAACAGCCGTTCTGAGGGATTATGTCGTCAGATACCATTAAGTGTACGATTCTGGCCTCGTCGCTGAGTTGTTTACTGTGCCGCTAATCCTCACTTAAAACTGTCCTCGTCTGCTTCCAGTCTCCCTGCAGGACATCAACATGAGGAAGGCCTTCAAGAGCAGCACCATTCAGGACCAACAGGTGGTGTCCAGGACCTCGGTGCCCAACCCGGTGGTGGAGATGTACCACCGCTGCGACAAGCCTCCGCCGCTCAACATCCTCAGCCCCTACAGGTCGGTCATTCGCTGATCCTTCTGGGACGAACCTTGTTTGTTTTTCCCTCTTTGTCACTGGCTTTCTTCTCCACAGGGATGACAAGAAGGACGCGCTGAAGTTCTACACTGACCCGTCTTACTTCTTCAACCTGTGGAAGGAGAAGATGCTGCAGGCCACCGAGGACAAGCGCAAAGAGAAGAGGCGACAGAAGGTACGCTGTGTGTCGGTCCGTTGGTGTGAGCTGGAGGATGGAAGCGTGAGTGTGGGTCTGGAGATGGAGAGCGTGACGGGACAGGAAAAGAATCTCATCTTCTGCTTTAATTTGCTGATCTGTTTTTTCTGGCCCAGTTGTGTCATTTTTGCGCTGTTATTTCCGTTGATGCATTCCGATCTTACTGTACTCTCACCATTTAGCTTTGCTTTGTTGTTTAATTGGTTATTGATGCAGCAGCAGCTGGGCGGGCTCATTATCCAGAGACAGAGGAAGGACCGAAGGGGAACACAGCTCCTACTAACTTTATGTTCAGCACGTCCACCTAATGAGCCAATGTACACATATTTATACAAAGCTGTGACATTAATGTCAAAGTGGAAAAGCTCAGGAGGAACTAATCAAATTACAGGCAGCAGAAGACTTTCCTCACAAAGCTGCTATTTATGGATGCTGTGGGATGCCATGGCAACGACAGCAAACCAAAGGAGTAACCTCCCAGCCTGATGCGGACGTGGATGTTTCTGTCACATAGCTGGAGCAAAACAAAACGTCTTGTTATTGGCAAGAACATATAATTGTTGCAGTTACAGGCTTGTTATGCAGCTTGAATGTCACTAAATTAATTAATGTGTCTTAAAAAATGTAGATGTTTATGGTTCGATATTTCTACAACATCGGGCCTGTTGCCTGTAATTATGAAAATAGTTCCTCTCATTTAGTCAGAATTAATGCAGCATTTTTTAAATAGTGAATAAAACTTCAAAATAGCACATGTGGGATCACCCAGCGGCTAATTGGCCTGAGGGCATGGACGATGAAAGCAACAGGTTTTCACCATCACACACATAAACTCCCACCTACCTTCGTATTTTCTAATTCTGGTAGATATGTGAATATTAAACAAGTAAAAAAGGTCTGTTAGCCAGCAGTTTTAATGATATAACACCTTATCGTACACGAGTATTAAAGGGTAGAAAATGATAGAAAATTAAACAAAAGTTAAACCAAATAAATCAGAAACACACAGATTTATAGAACACAGATCACTAAGGCTGACAAGAGATGAGAAAATTAAAAGCATGTAAGAGATAAAGCGTGCAATAAAATAGAAAAAAAAAAGATTTAATATTAAGTGAATAAAAGTGCAGACAAGTTTAATAAAATACAGCTGAACAGCAGCAGCGAAAAGAAGAGGGCGACGCACTGAGTTCAGGATTATTTTAAGTCTTATTTTGATGCAAAGATTCGAACACTAGCATGAGAATGAAGCACAACAAAGAAATTCAGGCAGTGGTGTTTATTTAAATGTCAGAGAGCAGTTAGATATTTATGTAATATTTGTGTTCTTAATAGTGAAATAAAATAAACGTGCAGTTCTAGTACACGGCACGAGGATGATGGAGAGAATCCAGCCGTAGGCAGAGTAGTAACTGCTGACTTTTATTTCTGTGTAAACTCTTGACCAGTTTTTAGGCGTTCATACTAATTAATGACACATTTCACACCTGCAGTTCGGTGCTATTCCCCTTTGATTTAACGTCTTCTCTCCGTCGACAATCATTTTTAAACCCCCTGAACAGCTGCTGCTGTATATGTTTGCTGCACTCTGTCAATATTTCTGTTGAATTTAATGCTGCTTACATTTTTCTGTTCCCTCCCTCCAACCTGGTAAAATTAAAACTCCCCTCAGAAACAACCTGCTTTAAGTTTTCACTCTTGAAAAAAAAAACAAACGTCAACAGGTTTGTACAGCCGAGGAAGCTGCAGGAGGATCCTTCTCGACCCTCTCCTCCTCCTCCTCCTCCTCCTCCTCCCTCCTCTCTCTGATTTACCTTTAGTTACGTCGAAGACACTCCCCCTCCTCCTCTTCCTCCTCTTCCTCCTCCTCTGCTCAGTCTAACACACCAGCTTGTCTCTCTCCCATGTTTCCATAGGGCTGTCCGGCCCACCCTGACAGGCCCCACTCCAGACAGGCCCCACCCAGGAGCCCCCTGTCCATCTCTGTAAGACAACCCCGACCCCTAACCTGCCCCGTCCTGCCCCCTCCTCCACTTCCCCCAAACATACCCCACTATTACACATTACACACTGACCTATCGTAGAGGATGTCTGAACACAGGTAAGACACATAGAGGCACAGAGGGAAACACAAATACTCAGTGACTGTAACTGAACAACGTTAAAAGACACAATCGCACACACGCACTCCCTTCTGTTTGTGTCCGTGTGTGTCATGTCGCGTTAGCTTGCCACCTCACCGCCTCTCTAACCCTCTGTGTTTGGTTTGGTCCTGTGTCCCCACACGTTCTGGCTCTGTCGTCCATCGTGCACTAGTGTGTGGGTGTTGCCCAATAGTGACTGGTAGACTAGTGTGTGTGGTTGGCTCGATGTGAGTTGCCCCATGGTGAAGGAGCTGGTGATGGGGTCCAGTGTTTTGTTTTATTTTTTTCCCTTCTGCACCACATGAATCAATAATCGATGACTGAGTCTCTCTCCACTCTTCTGTGTGTCTGTCTTTGTCTCGTAGGAGCAGCAGAGGCAGGTTGAGGATCCGGGCAGAGAGGTGAAGAAGGTCTGTGACGCTTCTGCTTTTCATTACCTCCCTCTGAAACAGGCGTGAACTCAGCAGTTGATTAGCAAATTAAATTCATTAGCGGCACATTAAAATGAATCGCTTATAGCACGCTTTAATGTACAGATGGGTGATGAATTAAAGGATAAATGAGGGTAACGAATGCAGATGCTTCCACACAGGTGCACTGCGTGGTGCAATTAAGCAATCAACATCCAATAATGCTCTGTGGCACGTATAGCGATGCTCAGCATGGCCAGCTGATTGTGATTCTATGTCAAGGTAACAAGAGGAAAAGATCTTAAAGATGCCGTCTGGTGAAAATCAAGGCTTTTACACTGTTAACATACCCATATGCTGGAAGAGAACTTTAGTGAGACGGTTCCTTGTTAGGGCACAGATGGCAGGAGCTTCAGTCACAAAGACTGCTCAGCTGGCCTCAGTAGAAACATTTACAGAAAAGACATCTGGATTTAGCTCTATGGGAAAGACATGTTGTGATCCCAGCGCATGTTTGATGACTTTATGCAGTTTTCAAGGAAATATGGAAGAGAAACTTCCTCAGGTGGCTGAGAATGACTTCTCTGGTCCCAATTTTAATCAGGTTTCTGGATATAAACATCATATGCAGAGTTCAGAAACCTGGACAAGCCCTCATCCTGGTTTTATGCTCGCTGGCGTACTGCGAAAGAAACTGGGGCACTTGTTGCATGTATAGACCGACATCTTATCCCGGTTTTTAACTGCTGTCGACTACCTGTGCAGGTGCAACTTCAGCCAGAACCACAAACCAAGCAACATCTCCCACATCTCCTCTGGTTTAATGGGCGGTTCCCTAGTGCTGGTCAAAGGATGCTTTACTCACAAGCACATTTTCTCTGTGTTACTGGTGATAAGGTGGATGAACCAGTTCTGCAGCATGATGTTGGTATTTAACAGCATGAAGCCCATTTCCAGCTGAAGTGGCCTCAGTCAGATTAATTTCAAGTTAGACGAACTGTTTACAGTCGTGTCCGATTAAATTCACCAGCTTGTGTTGGAAGCATCCCAGGTGCTGAGCAAACAGCACACAGTCATCAGCAAACAGGGTGCTGGTGTTTAGCATGTATGCTGGGACATGAATACCCAGACTTCTCTGTTTGTCCATGTAAACGTCACATCCTGAATGTATTCACCACCAGAGTAGGTTTCATAACCTGGATGCTGGTGTGCATGTAAACACGCTCATCGTCGATTCAGGACATGAACAACTGTGTCAGCAGGAACAGCCAGTCGACAAATACATACAGAGGAATATTATAGTCGGGCTGCAGAGCACAAACCTCTCATTACAAAGATGAATGCGCGTTTCAGGTTCAGTGGTGCAAAAACCACAGAGTCTGGTGAAGCATAGATGTGGGGAAAAAAAGTGAGTCATCCTTCACCTTATTCTGGAAAAGTGTGTGAGGGGCAGACCGAGAGAACAGTACAGGCCTGAATGCTTAACCCCTGCAGGGAGGCGGCTCTGTCAGGCTGGAGGGCCATGGTTTGGGTCCACTGGTAACCTCAGAGGGAAGAGTCACTGCTAATCAATACCAAGAGCTTCTGAGTCATCACCTTTACCCTGATGGGGGGGCGGGGGTCTCCACCCATCCATGGGGCACGAGGGGTCACTGAATGGTTTCCTGAAGGTGGTGTGAACTGAATGTTATAGCCTTTGCAATTATGGAGGATGGCAGATTAGGTACTAATGTGTTTGACGGCACTGTTTAGAAGAATGAGGTTTCATCCCCTTAAGTGGAGTTTTTAAAGATTTGGAAAAACATAGCAGCACTTTCCGTTGTTTTTTTTTTCCTTCAAGTTGTCACTCATCTATAGTTGTAGGCAGGTAGTAACAGTATAAAATATGTCTTCTTAACTACAGGTATAGCTGTTGACAAACACTGAACATTAATATTGTAGGAAGTAGGGGGACTTAAAGGTTACAAATAAAGAATCTAACAGCAGCATTTAGCACAACAAAATTCATTTGATTCTTTTAAATTCTTCACGGCCTTCGTCGTAAAAAGGCAGCCAATAGGAAATATATGTTTATGCAGCAAAATGAACTGTGTTAACTTATAGAAGCCAGACAAACATCTGGACAGGAGGCAGCTTCCAACATCGTCATTACTGCAGCACTTACAGTTTTCATCTATTTGAATGCATCAGTCTTCTTCGAGGGAACTCCTGCAGTTCTACCTGCACATATCTGCACATCAGAGACTCCAGATAGCATCAAGACCTTTAAGTTTGTGCAGCTTCTAACAATCTGGCTTCCATTTACTTCCTTGATACTCATGAAAGATCATTTTCAGCTGATGCTAATCTCCACAAGGCTCTTTACGATCATTCTTAGGTCACATATCAGCACTTTTTAGGTTTTTAATCAGGACATGTGCTGTATACAGTCTGACACTGATGTAGCTAATGTCGATGTGTGCACTTCAACGTGGGCGTACACGTTCATAATTACAGCATCAGCAGCGACTGCAGAGTCGAGCGAATCTCAAAGATGCTCCAGAAGAAGCAAATGTGACGCCGGTGTTAATGGAGGCACAAAAAAAAGCTGAGCGAACTCATCTTTTCCTGATTAAAACTGAAGAGCAGAGGACGTTGTCAGTGTGGAGAGCTCTTAATCACTCTAAAAAACATCTCCAGGAAATGTATATTTAAGCCATTCGGTGAAGTAGAGACAGTCAGACACTCTTGGGTGTCTGTTAACCCGTTTCCTAATGGGGTGGAGGAGAGGTGCAGCTGTGCTAATTCTCCGTCCTGCATGAGGAGAATGTTGATGTAGTACAGTAAGCAGCTCAGTCACCAGACTTTCAGTGTAAAACTAAAAAGTTGTTTATGAAGTAAGAGACATGACTTGCAGAGTTTTTATTGTTACCTTACCAGTGAGTGAGTGTTTCCCTTTCTGCTGGTTTACCTTTGCAGGTGCGTAAAGCTCGAAACCGGCGTCAGGAGTGGAACGTCCTGGCCTACGACAAGGAGTTCAGACCAGACGCCAGACTCACCCCGTCTCCCTACCACGGCATGTCCTCCGAGGGCTCCCTGTCCCCCGACAGCAGGTACCAACTGTTGCTATACGAACCCTCTGAGGTGCTTTAACCAGCTAAGACATCACATGATTGTCTTTGAGGTTGAGGTTTATTATGAAAAATAAAATAAAAATAACCAAACTGCTTTCAGTGTTTTCCTCAGCTGTAAACCTCTATAAATCCTATTTGTGTGATAAAAATAATATATAATGTGCAGATGTTGTCATACTTCACTCAAACTATTAGAGTCACACACATTTAATCCCAGAACTGTAAAACACTGAGCTGTAACCAGAACCACCTGACTGCCTGGATCGTCTGAAGCTCTATACCGCCCTCTTGTGGACAATGGAACTCAGAGCACGTTAAATCATACTTGATGTGGATTTTACAGCATCGCATCGAAACCCTCATAAGAACAGATCAGATTAAAGTTTAGAGGAAAAATCAATCACCGTGGCAGCAGAGTGGGATGTAAGAATCTGAATATTAGGATGGAAGCAGAATACAAATCCAGGAAGAGAGGCGGAGGAAAAACTATGAATTTAACTGAGTCACTGATCAGTTATCTGTGATCAGGGCCGTTATTTTCTATCTGGATGCCACACATACCTGACTGTGATGCGTTTATGTGTTTCCATCATTCCCAGCATTTTTTTTCACTTTCACCTGAACTGGACTCTGTGTTCCCTCCACCAGATCAATGGCGTCCGACTCCTACCCAGCCAGCCCCAACCACCCCTCCACCCAGGCCCCCAGCGCCGCCCACCCCCCCGACCACCACGCCAGGGACCACCTCAGCGCCGCGGCCCAGACCCAGTCGCTGGATCGGGGCCTGAGGCCGGTCAACCAGCCTCCTGCAGGGGCGGCGGCAGCAGGGCGGCACGCGGCCTCCCTGGGCAGGACCCCGTCAGGACACGGGGCCCAGCCCGGAGGAGATCCGACAGTCAACGGGCCGAGGCAGCAGTCGGTCAAGGACTACCGGGCCGGGCACGGGTACGTCGCCTCATAGAGATATTGATCTATGTTTATATCATCTTTGTGGTTCTTTCTTCCTCCCTCAGATGAGATAATCAATTGTTTTGAGTTAGTTTTAGTTTCATTTTTGTTATTAACAACTTTTAATGTTAGTCTAGAAATGTGTGGCTGTTATATGTGTCTTTATTATTGTCTTTTGATTTCTTTTCTAAACTTCTTTGTGTTTTATGGAAAGCACTTTGATTTTACTTTTGTCAGAAGGTGCTGCATAAATAAACCTGCCTTTACTTGAGTTGTTAGAGCGATATGGACACAGTTGTAGGTTTATAGGATGTTTTTTGGCTTGAATGCTTCTAGTCTGGAAGCAAAATGAGTGAGTGAGTAACGATGGCCAAGCTAGTGTCCCACGTGGAAAACTTTTGTTGCTGCAGGACAGAAACACATCAAACAGTGACGAGAATGAGAAAATGAATCTTAAGTTTCGTAGTACCGTGCAAAATCAGTTTCAGAAATGATAAATGAACACAAGTACTGTCTGAAAACGTAAATATCATGGAGTGTGTTGCAGGTTTCTGTTGGTGCAACAGAACTAAAGATGAAATGTCATCAATACAAAACAAAAAATATATTTGAAGACAGTAAAAAGGTGAAGCTGGTTTCTGGTGCAGCGGGCCTTGGAGTGTTATTTCAACAATTTGGAAAAAATAGTTTCTTGCCAAGAGGCAGATGAGACAATCGGTGCCACTCTCAAATTTGTCGGTTAAATATGACGCTTAGCTTAGCATAGCCTAACTTAGCATAGCCTAGCTTAGCATGCTAAAGAGGGTAAACAGCTCACCTGCCTGTTAACCTCCCACTGATCCACTGGATATTACACTAACTTTGCACCCTCTTCTCTCTTGTCTCCCCTCCCTCCCCCCCAGCGGTCAGCCCTCCACCATCCCAGAGTACTACATCCCCCCGGCGCCTCCCCCGCCTCCCCCCACCATCCCCTCTGCCCAGACCGCCTTCGACTCCACCACGGCTCCGCCCTCCGCCGCCGCCTCCGCTGTCCCCCCGACCTCCTCCGCCCTCTCCCGTCCCTACTCCCCCTCCCCTCCTCCTCCCCCGGCCAACTACGTGCCCTCCCCTTCCCACCCACCCTCAGGCGCTCCCCCGGCCGCCCCTCCGCCTCCTCCTCCCGGAGCCCCCGCGGGACACCCGGCTCACCCTTCCCCGCCGCACGCCGCCGTCGGTCAGGCGGCTGTGGACGCGGCGCCCTCCACCAGGAAGTCCACCATGCTGGGGATGATCCCGATGAGCGACGCCCGCTCCGACCTGCTGGCCGCCATACGTAGAGGTGAGTGTGTGTCACTGGAGCTCAGTGTGTTTGTATTAAACTAAAAATATGGGTGTCCTCAAACACCTAACACTGACATCACAGTCCACCCCAGCCCCCCCCAATCTACCTCACATCCACCTACTGTAAACTCTATAAATGTGCAATATCATCAATGACCATGCTGTGAAATATTTTTCTAAATTCATACTGTACATATAACTTATACTGTATATATAACTTTTCTTATTTTATATTTAAATCTCTTCTATTTTTTATTTTTTGCTCTTTATTTTGTTCTTTATTCTATATTGCACTGAAGGAGCTGCTCTTAATCTCATTGTACATGTGTATAGTGACAATAAAGACATTCTATTCTATTCTATTCTACCTCTGCAACCAAAACACCCCATAATATTTTCATTTGTAAGTGTGAGTTTTGTTTGATTTCAGGTAATTTACCTTCTTTTTTTAGTAAAAATTAATGTTGTAAAAACTAACAGATGAAGTAAATTAAGCGTCATCCATCGCAGATTTCTCCTTTAAAGGTGTAGCTTAAAAAAAGGCAGATTTTATTCATATTGCTCATTGTTAGAATGTTAAAAGTGTTTCATCAGTTTACACGCCAACATGACATCTAACGGCAGTGTTTGAGCTTTGGTAGCAGGTCATGCACAGCTCTGTCAGTATGTGTAATATCATATTACATTTCATTTTTCTATGATTGTGTGTGATGTTACTTAGTACCCAGCTTACTTGCCACTTTTATCTCACTTATTTAAGTAATTTCAGTCTGGCATTGTACTTATATCTTATTGCTTTTTAGTTTTTAGGCAATACATTTCTTATGTTATATCATTTGTTTTTTTTCTGAGCAATATCTGGCACCAGAATTTCCTTCAGGATTATTAAACTTGTATCTCATCTCATCTTATCCCAAATTCCCTCCTTCCCTCCCTCCCTCCACGTCCTCCCCTCCAGGTATCCAGCTGAGGAAGGTGCAGGAGCAGAGGGAGCAGGAGGCCAAGCGGGAACCCGTTGGCAACGACGTGGCCACCATCCTGTCGCGCCGTATCGCCGTGGAGTACAGCGAGTCCGACGACGACTCGGAGCTCGATGAGAACGAGTGGTCCGACTAAGCAGAAAATAAAAGAGAACGAGGGAGAGATGGGGGCTTGGTGGGTGGAGGTCAGTGTGAGGGGGAGAAATGTGACACTGAGGTGTAAATGAAGGGATCTGATTAGTTTTAAATGTTCATCATTAACGTTTTAACGAGAAAAAAGTTCAGTAAAGATCAACCATGCGTTGGCACACGTGCTCCAGATGGCCTGCTGCAGCTTGTCTCAGCAACAGGTCCATCTTTTCAGCTTGCTTGGTTGCCCCTGACGACGCCTATTCTTGAACCGAAAGCCTGGAGGTTTTTTCGCGTCCAACCGCTCGGGGTGTTCGGCACAATTATCGCACCATTTAACACCCTCCCGCCCCCATCCGCTCATTTTTAACCTCTATCGCTGAGCCGTGAAAACAAACGCCCCGACTTCTCTCTCCCTTCATACTGGTGTGGTAATTATTAGCAATATTCCAGGCTCTGGAGCTGTAGGTAGGCGGGCCCCCAGCGAGGACGGGGGCGATGTGTTTACAAAACACATGGTATAGCACAAGAAAAACTAATTACAGTGCAATCTTAACTTATCTGCCAAATGTTGAGAAAGAATTTATGAAAACAAGTCAGGATAATCAGGGAAATGAATAGCTTATTAGCGGATTGCTCTGCTTCGCCGGGCGATGCCTGTTTACGAAACGCTCTCCTGAAGAGACGCCGGCTTTTGGGAGTTTGGTTCACTGGTTATCTAAACCCACAGGAGACGGCAGAATCAACATAATCTCTGTGTAGTGAACTCTAGCTGGGGTGTGACAGCAGTTGAAGCTCTAGCATGTTGGCTAACTGTAGCTGTCAGTAAGTCTATTGGTTCCCACGTTGAGTTTCACGTTTCAGCCCGCTGGTTAAAAGAAAGTAAAGGATAGAAGTGCTATTTAGAGGTACTTAAAATTACATTTTGTATGTAGATTTCCAGCACGAGTTGTTGAGTTTCTAGAGAAATTGAGCAAGACATCAAATAACTTTTTGTTAAATTCTGTTGTAAGGAATTACTTTAAAAAAACAAAACAAGCCACAGCAGCTTAGTTTGTTTTAGTTTTTTTAGGACTGATACTGAACATTCATAATCAAGGACACCAATAATCTGTGTTTCAAACAGGTCTATATTTTCAGTAAAAATAAAAATCTTTGCATGTCCTATAAAGCCAGCTCCGTTAAAATCTGTTTGTTTATCGAGTTTATCCTTTAGTGTTGATTGGCTGTTACTCATGACGTGTGACCAATTAGAGCCAAACCTGTGCATTTTGAAATTAGTTTATTTTTATCTGTAATCGTTCTTTAAAAAATATAAAACAACACCAATATTCTGTTAAATGCTGAATCCTGGATCTGATAATCAGACAGACTGATAATCCGTTGACCCCTGTAGGATACAAGTGTTAACTAAATGACACTAATTCTGTTTTATTTATGTCAGTTTTCTCTAAATCAGCTTTATTCAAGTGCATCTAAATGTGTCAAGTTATGTGGTGTGGTTCAGGCAGGTGACTGGTTTGAGTCTGGTTATTTAATGGTCCCACCTCATGGTCTCACTCCTGACTGTGGTTTCAGCTGATCATCCTTCAAATACAGGCCTGGTATTGATGCACCTACTACTGATGTAAACAAGCATTAAACAGCATCAGAACACAGATGTGGCTGTAGCAGATCTATCAACCAATAACAACAAGCTCCAGTCATGTGTTTTCAGTTTGGTAGCAGGACAGTGAGCGTGTTTACAATCTGGTTTGTTCTATATATTAATGTATTTTCATTAAATTATAACAAACAAATGCACAATTTACATGCTTTGAGCAGTGGTTGTGCATCATATATGAATAAAAATCATGACAAACTGCTTCCTAATTGCTAGGAATAAGATTTTTTTGTTTGTTTACTTGGATGATTTGAGAACTTTCTGGAGCTCATTCCACCTGTAGTTGCAGCTCAGCAGAGGTCAGGATGTCCCGTGAGCTGTCGTTATGATTCGTGGACGTGATGCTGCGTCTCTGCTAAAGTTTTGTGTGAAGTAATTAGAAAGCCAAACTCCCAAAAGCCGGTGTGGTTCTCAGCCTCATCCCTCTCAGATTGTGATTTACGGTAGAGTAGTTCTCCCTTTGAGAAAGCCTAACAAAACTGTGACGAAAGACGCCACCCGCCCAGGAGCGAGCTGGTGTGGGAAAACGAGCGCCACCAGCCTTGTCGGAGTTTAGCGATGAAACTCGTCATTCAGCCTCCATATCACAGCATCGAACAATAAAGCAAACCGACGAGCTTCTGCCATTATTTTGTTTCTATTTTTATTTTTTTTTGTAGTCATTCATAACTTGAAGCCTAACATTTCAGCCAGTGACTGTGTGCTGTGGTCTTATATAAACGCTTCCACTCTTAACCACCGTCGGAGCCGCTCTCACAAAGCTTGGTCATCCCGGCCCGGGGTCAGAGGTCACGCCCACGCCGCCCTGGGTCGACACCGCTGTCTGTGGAGGCTTTGTGAACGCAGCCCCTGGACTATAAATACATAAATGTAAGAGACTTGCAACAGTAATATACAGTATATTATCTCTTCTCTCTTTTCAGTATAGGTTTGGCTAATCCTCAGTATGAACTGATTGGACTGTAGTGTTTTTATAATGTGCTTTTTCTTTTTAAAATGTGCTGCAGTGAGTTGTTCACTTTGGTTTATTTTAAGGTTTTCTAACTGTCAAGGCCAGGACGGAGGTGCCAGATAAACAAGTCGACTTGTGTCAAGAGAAGCCAGTTAAAGGAAGTTTTCAGCTGTTTCTTTATCAGATTAACCCCTTTTTAGCATCACTCGAGCCAAAGCAAACGTCCCACGAAAACCGCATTTAATGCTACATTCAGAGGTTTATTTAGATTTTCTAACCAGAACAGCAATCTTGGAAGATTTCACAACTTTTTTTTTTTTTTTTTGCAAAGCCTTATGGGAAGTGGAGTGCTACGGCGATATTCACAGATACTGTTTTGTTTGCTTTTAATTTGTGTTGACATGAGCAAAACGTGCACTTTGAACAGTGTCTGATATTTTGGGAATCCAGTCACACAGTTATGGGTTTTAAATTACTATATTACATGTTTCCTAAATGAATCTAAATGAATGGATTTTGATGTTTTCTTTCTTTGTAAAGTGAATATTTGAAATTAATCACTTTTTTTCAACCACATTTGGCTCCTTTTAACCCACATATCGAAATATTTATAAGCTAGAAAATAATTTCATTGATAAAAACGACAAACTGAGACCAGACAGCAGGGGTTTGCCACATATCTGACCCTGTTTTGACTGTATTTGTTTGAGAACTGTTCCATATTGGTTTAATAGATGATTTGGAAAGGGATAGGGCTCAAAAAGTAGTTATTTTGTTGTTGTATATAAACACGATAGTTGAGGATACAGATGACACAACAACTGCACTCTGTTGAAGAACACAAATCACATCTGCTTTAGTGACTGGACGGAAATGTTGGAGGGTTCTGGGTTTTCTCCCTGGTTGTTTGGAATAGGATTTAAGGAACTGTGCCAAGACTTGTGGACTTTATTATTGAAGTAAAAAAAAAAACGAAGCACATATGACGAGCAGAGTGTGGATTCGCCACAGACCTGGCTAAGACTGAGCCAGAAGTAAAATGTTTGAGGCATCGAATCTGCAGCAGAATCTAAAATGTGACCCGGGTCTGATTGTTCTGATTGTTTATTCTATGGTTGTGTTGTTGTGCAGGAGCCATAGATATACTCAGTCGTAAAACTTTCCCAGCATCTGTTCATCAGAGTAACTCACGAACCTCTAAGAATGTAAAGCTGTGACTTTCAAATTTGCCACCTCCCATCTTCTCTGACGTGTCGCCAGCATACTGGTCCGCTCAAGATTTCCACATCAGCGACAGCGAAACAAAAGTCTTGTACTTCTGATCAACCACACCTTGTGTATCTATGGCTACTGGCTTGTGAGAAAACTTCATTATGTGTTGAAAATGTGAGAAATGAATCATGTTGTATAGACTTTTGGTAAGGCAGCCTGTAAAGTAAAATACATTTGGGGTAATATAACCTAGACAATGAAACAAAATAAAACTGTGTATTGCACACTAAAATCAACTGTAAGCAAGTATGCATGTAACTATAGACAATAAATGGTGAACAAAGTTATACATCCTGTGTTGTTTATTTTTACATGTTATGTATTAGTCATAGTTTTTTTTTCTCCCTTCGCTATTGTGTATCGACAAAGCGATGAATCATCCGTTCCTTTGAGACCTTTTATGGTAAACAAACTGCAAACAGCTGTAGAACCTCTAATCTGTGATGTGTAAGAGTTGCACTTTCATTTCTCAGTTCATGCATTCTCGATTCCTTTCCTTGCCTCCTCTTTTTACGTCCTAGTTATTTCCAGTTGAGATGCAAGTAAAGCAGGCAAGGAAGAGTCACAAGGAGAGAGGAGTCGAGGCAAGAGGCATTCAGGGGCAAACGACGTCAGGGAAATTGTACATGTGGCACAACAGCATCATCTTTGTTTAGAATTGTTCATAACCTCTTACAGCACATATTTCAATTCAATTCACAATGAGGCATAATGTGACAAGAATGTACTGCAGATTCTTGATTATTTTGTTGAACACACATGCATCTATCTATAAATATAAACACATAAAGCAGCCACAACTAAAGCTGCCAGATTAAGTAATTAATGATATGATTAAAATGCAGTGTTTGGCTGTGAAACTTGTTCAATTGTTCAGGAAGGGTTAGAGGAACACGACAAAGAGTCTGAGGTGCTCCAGAGATCCCAAACTGATCGAGCAACCCTGGAATGCATCCACACAAGCCTGATCCACGGAGGGCCCACCCTGAAATCTGCAGAATGCAACGGATCCAGGGATCCATGGATACAGGGATCTCCAACTCCGGTCCTCGTGAGTTGCTGTCCTGCAGGTTTTCGATGTTTCCATACTGCAACACACCTGATTCAAGTTAATGGATCT